ACAAAACGGCCGGTTCGCCGATTTTTGACTTTTCGCTTAGACAAGGTCTAGAGCCACGCTAGTTGTACCATTGGATTCCTCTGGTCAAGATAAGGTCCTCTATAAAGTCTGGTAAGCATAGGAGCTCGTTTTCCCGGTATAGCAAGGCTGCAAAAGTCGTGGCAGCCATTTTGTTTGGGGGTGAATCCTACTTAGTAACGCTACCGCGTTACTAATAGTACAGGGACTTTGACCCAATTTTTGAGTAACTTAAAAAATTTATAAAAAATTCAAATTTGATTGGAATCAGTTCAAACTTTCTATGCAAGTTAATTACATGTATATGCATCATAAAAAATTATAGAAATCGAAATTCTCTCCTTTTAAATTTTGGCAAAATTTGGCCTGAGAACCTGTACTTTTTTGTACAGGGACTTTGGCCCGATTTTTGAGCAAATCCAATATTGATCAAAATCAACTCAAATTTTAATGCAACTCATATACATGTACATGTGGGAATGATATTTAGAATTTTGGAAAATTATTTATTTTATTCATAGGGTCCTAGATATGCCCACAGAAGACTTAGGAGTACCTGCTTATAGGAAGTTTGACATTGAAGCATGGATGCCTGGTTTAAATAGATATGGAGAAGTGAGTATACATGTACTTTGTACTCAATATATTACTGTATAGCTCAAAACTTTCAAAAGTAAAAACTTTCATGAATGAGTGAAAAGGAGATATTCACAATTAAAATTTTTGCAAATGGCCCAGGTCCATTGCATTGAGGGTGTGGCTAGCAGCTCTATACTTAAAGATTGGGAGAGCTCCCACAGCATCAGGAAAATGAAAAAGAATGACTACAAGAGGGCCTTGATTATTTTTCTTTGAGATACAGCTAAAGCCCACCATCCACTATTCAACTTTGTTGAAAGTAACTTTGGTTACTTTGATGTGCTGTCAACTCTGTTGCCTGAAATAGAACTGAGTTCTATTTCAGGCAACAGAGTTGCCATAAGATATCAAAGTAACCACAAAATGGCTTTCAACAAAGTTGATTAGTGGATGGTGGGCTTAATAGAGGCCATTTTAAGACAGTAAAGACTTGTACTCACTTAATTAAGGCAAGCCCATGCCTACTTGACCACACCCCTTTGAATTTATGTGATGAAAAATTTCACATTTGAGGCCTAAACTGCAAAATTTGCAAAAGTTTTCAGCCACGAAAGTTTTGAGCTATGTGTGTCATTGTTGCTATGTATGTAGGTTACCAGTGCTTCTAATTGCACTGATTATCAAAGCCAAAGATTAAATATAACTTATAGAATGAAAGATGTTTCTGTATCTAAATATAAAACATGTCCTGATTGGAAATATGTACACACAGTTAGTTAAAATTATACCCTGGTATCTGTCTTAATTACTGTCCTTTTTTAGGTTAATGGAACAGCTTGTGCTGTCCCTCGTACATTAATAGCATTACTGGAAACACATCAAAAGGAGGTAATACCAATCATACATGTACTAAAATAGTACATACTGCAACAGTTAGCTATATATTATATAGCAGATTATTTTGTAGATTAATTTTGTGGTTTGCAGTTTGTGGTGTTAATTTTTGTGGTTGATAGCCTGTAAGTGGATGGCACTTTAATGGGTCGTAAATCTAATTTTGTCAAAATCAGGAAAACCACGAAAACAGAATACCACAAAATAACCTGCTATGGTACTGGTATAAGAGCTCTTTTATTCCTCTCTTCTCTTATTATTAGAATGGCTCTTATTCATTGCCTGATGTATTAGGCGTCAAACTCTAGAACAAAGAATGAATACTACACAGTTGCATGCATTTGTTTTTTTTACTCAAAAATTCTTTGCACATCTTACATCTTTTACCATGTTAATATGTAGTTGCCAAAAGTGTTTTAGCTGTCAATAAAGGGAGGGGCATGTGGTTTGGCCTGCCCTGCATAGAGGAGTCTATAGTTGATATGGCAGATACAACCAACTCACTAGGTAGATTTAAGACTGTACTAACCTTTGTTATGATCAAATTTTAAAAAGGTATTGGTGATCTTGCCGAGATATTAGATTTACTGAAGAAACATGGATATTCTGGTGTTGATTTCTACAATCTTAGTCTCCAACTCGGCCTGCTCCCTCGCACACTTGATGTTATTGCTAAAAGTAACAGTGGAGATGTTAGTAGCTGTCTAAGAGAGTCTTTGAAGGCTTGGCTGGAGCAAGCTGATAACGTAGCTAGTAATGGTGGCCCGACTTATTTTACGTTAATAAGAGGACTGAAGAAAACTGAACAGAATGCTGTAGCTGACGGGATTGATGGAGAAAGTAAGTCTAAATATTTTGTTGCCTGTGGCTAGAAATTTCAAGGGTACTAGCTGTACAGATAGTATACATAGGATCTAGTAGACTTTTTATATTTTGGGGGACAACTCAGTTTTTCTTAGTGAATACTGAACTGTTTTAGTATTACCTAAAACTTGAAATGAGCCCCTTTGCATGTATTTTGTTAATTTTATTTAACAGAACATCCATCTTGTGATATTCTTGCTCGCTACAAATCAGACCAGTCAGTTCAGGAATTGCTGCCTAAAATTGCTTTATTCTTGCACAAAGAAGGCATCATCAAGGAAATAATGCTACCAGCTACAGCGCAAGCATTAATGAATGCGGTCACAGAGTCTGTCTGTGCTGATCATAGTAATATTCAAAAGTTTGCTGCTATTTTACAGAAATTTGTCTCAACCGTATCAGTAGGATATGCAATTGATAATGAATACAGTAAGTAATAGTTTTTATTGCTCTGCTTGCTGATACCCTTGATTGTAGAAAAGATATATGAAGGTGATAATATGCTAGTATTGACTGAAGGAGGTAAGCTAAGCTAATGTTAACTTTTAAATTTATTCTTGCGTCTTTTTCTATTCAGACAGCAAGCTTGCGATATACATGCCTCAATCCTTTAATGCGGAGTTTATTGACATGCGAATCAAGTTTGGCCAGACTTTTCGTAAAGTTTTAAAAATTTTAAAAACGTGCCCATCCGCAGTCGAAGACTTGAGGGAATTGCTTATATTTTCGTATTCCGACTTTAAAGCCAGATTAACACAGTGCCACAATGTGTCTTGCATTTTAGAGCTGATCCACGAGAAATGCTCTCTTATTAATATTAGCCTGCTAGAGTCCATCATGAATGAATTAGAAGTTATAGAAGCTGTGGCAATAATTAGCGAGTACAAGGCAAGCATTGAGACATTTCTTCAGTCTGTTTCTCTTTGCCTTTCTCTGAATGAAAAGTTCTCCTCTTTACCTTCCCTTCGATGTGAAACAGCTACCATTTATGTCGGACGAAATGTTGACGACTGCACCCTAAATGACATTATGGAATTAGTTTCACTTGCTGCAGACCGATTGTCTAAAAGGGTAACGTTGGTCGTTGTCAGAGAGGGTAACTCCTTTACCATCACTTTCTCTTTTCCTGTCTTTCTCTCTGAGTCTCTTATTGCTACTGCACTTGATAATATTGACTCACTCATTGAGAGAGGAGTAAAGAGACTGACCATTGGATATGGTGTTGTATATGAGGTATGGCTATCATCAAAATAAACTGTTTCACTTTCATTGTTATGTTATGATAGGCAGCCAATGATAGCAATGGAAGCTCTTTAGAGAAATGCATATCCTCAGGTATGCACAATGATATGTTATGGAATGTTTATATATTATCTCTATCACCAGTTTACAGTAATGATGGCACATTGCAGCAGTTGTTGGTGTCACAGAATATACTGTTGTTAAATAGTCAAGAGGAGCTGACTAGAATTCAGAAGAAGGTATATGATTTTGAATTTGAAACTGAAATTTATTATTGACATAACAAAGGGTGTACAAGAAAAACAAGTAACAGAGTCTGAAGGAGGCATAATCCAAGGTAAATGATGACAAGAAATAAGTAATTATTATTTTTCGATGCAGCTCAAGCGTCACCTGATGAGCAGTGGGTTATAGATAAAGATGAGGTGACTTTGACAAAGGAGGAGTTGGGAAGAGGATCGTTTTCTGTCGTTACAGTTGGTATCTTTAGAGGTTTAAGAGTAGCTGTCAAGTCACTTTACGATGATGTCATATCAGATGAAAATATAGGTCTCTTCACCAGGGAAATGAGTATAGTATCACGAATACGTCATCCTAACCTGGTCCAGTTCATTGGTGCAACCAAGGTGGGTAGTCCTCTCATTGTGACTGAGCTGATGAGCACTAACCTCCGGAAAGAGCTTCCAAGGACCTCATTAAGGAAGCAGCAGATTCTCAGTATTGCTCAAGATGTAGCTTTAGGCCTCAACTACCTTCACCTGTTTAAGCCTCAGCCCATTATTCACAGAAATGTCAGCAGTCTTAATGTATTTCTCAATCCTTCAACAAGTGATGC